TTTTTTTTTTTCAAAAACTCTTTATTTATTCTTCCAAATTTATTTTATCGACTTCAAAGTACTCCTGACACAATGCACTTATGCCAACCTTTTTCCAATCCTCAATGCATGCTAAAAATTCATCGGCAGGGATGACCTTCAAAGCGCGCGGTGATTCACATTAAATTGCTTCAATCGATTCAAAGCGCTGTTCCCGGAATAGTCTTTGGAGTTCAAGAAATAGCCAGAAGTCGCACATTTTTAATACGGTGGTTGTGGAACGATATGAGTTGAATGTTTGCCGAAAATGTCACGAAGAATCAATTCAGTGTGAGCTGATGCATTCACTGTTTTGGGTACCAATCGAGATTTCACGTGTTAGAGGATCCTTTTGAAATTAAAACAGCATCAGCAAAGGTCTCTAATTGTAAATCGACGGTTTGAAAAGCACCAAATCTTTAATTTTTTGGAAGAGCTTCGTCGGTTGAAGTTGATGGTCGACCAGAGGGTTCTTCGTTTTCAGCGCGTTCTCTGCCTTCGTTGAACTGTTTACACCACTTCTAAACATTTCTTTCCTATATAAGAATGCTCATCGAATTCCTTCTGAAACATTCTATACGTTTCCGCAAAAAAAAAAAATTAACGCAAGTTCTTGCACAATTAATTCAAACATTTCAAAAATCGCCGTAATCAGTTTTAGCGTCTCACAAAAACCAAGCTGAACTCAAACACTAATGAATATTTTGAAGTCAAATTTCACACAGATGTCAAGGACAGTGCCAACAACATAAGAGAGAAAAAAATGGAAATTCCATAAGCCGCGGGAATTTTAAATTGAAAATTGTTCTTATCTTTTTGGACACAGTAGTAACACATGGTAAGATGTATGTTAAATGATGCCACGTAACATATAGTAAGAATACATTTGACAATCACATACATTACCATCAATAAATCACAATAATATTATTTATGATTTTAATTTTACTGTCACATTAATCTGGTAAAAACCCCTAAGTGTGGAAACTGAAATTTCATACCTACTTCCCCCTTTTAATGAATCCTTAGAGGGACGAATGATTTACCTCACACATATCCGGTATTTACAGTTATATTTTTTAATTAAATTGAATACAAAGATTAATTACAATTATATATTTATAAAAATAACTTTTGTTTTTAATATTAATTCTTTATCATATGAATATAATGAAATATATTATTTCTTTGCATATGTCTTTGATATTAGCTAACATATTTAAATCACATTTTTAATAACCTCCTTTATAAGATCATTGTAATTTTTATAGATCATTTTACCCGTAAATGAATAATAAAATGCATTGCCTTTAAATGTAAACAAAAAATGATAGTATAAAAAATATTGTTTAAGTGTTAATTTTTCTTAAAATTTGTATTGAATTTGAACTAATCTTTCTTTCTTTTATAATATATTACATCTTTCTTTTTATAATATAATAATGTTGTCACCGTTCTTCCTCCTACACATTGTAAAGAGCGCCCCCTGGGGGTTAAAATGAAATATTCAGTCGGCCTCGAGATTGTCACCAGAGAGAAAGTACAGAGCAATCTGCGCTCCATTTGAGAATCATTTAGTTTTTATTCTCTCATCCCGACAGGCAATATATATATATATATACCCTAGTGTATTAGTTGGCCTACAGACTCTAACCCGGAGACGAAGTATATTTCGCGTACCCTGCACGTAGTCGTGTATCGGGGTTTCGGCTTAGAAGTGGAATCCTTCTACGAATCTATACATATCTATCTTTAAATGTTTTAAATATTATATGTCCCTAATTGTATGTGTGTGGTGTTTGTCCTTGTGTAAATAAAGCTGAGAGTACTCCAACCTGTGCTTCAAGTATCTCAACCCAACACACCCAGTTACAATATGGTTGCTCAACCGGCACATTACAATGTACAGTTTACGTAATATTAATACAAAAGCAACCATGAATCGAACCTATGCATCCTAAAAGTTAAAATAATTATTTTACAATTAAAACTGATTTATTACATTTCATTTATTATTACTTTTATTATTATTATTCACATTACTGTTCATTTATTTAAATTGCGTATACAAAAGGTTTCATATTGTGAATATAAACCAATTTTCCTCAGAGAATGCTACTTATTATATCATTGAAAATGAATGTAATGACTATTACACAATTAACAATGTAAATATTTTGTGAATGCAACACTACTAACTTGAATAATTATAAAATTGTGCAGTTATATAATATCCTTATATATTTATGAAATTAATTTATTTTCATTTTTAATGAAATAGTTTGAAGAATATTATTCAAACAACACAAGGGAAATTAAGTTAGGGTAATATGGGATTAAGTTACAATTTTCATGAATTAAATATAACTTACGGATTTTTCTATTCTAAGATAAATTATGCTATATGTATGCTTAATTTAACATGTTAATTGTAATGTGAATTTATCTATAGTAATATAGTAAAAAATATTTGTATAACACACACCTATATATATATATATTATTGAACTCGCATTCATAAGGTATTAATTTAATTCAGAGAATACAGATCTGGAAGACCTGGAATACATCTAAACAAAGAGAACATTTACTTCATGGACAATAGAAAACATTTATGGAGACCTTAGACATGAATAGAATAGAATTCTTGTATTACCAAATCTCATGCGACAAAAATATTGTATTTTCCCTAAAATAGAACTTTTATATTGAAATGTAAAGGCCGAAATTGCTTAGTATATGTAGACAATAAATATGTTGGTGGGGCAATTATTCCTTTAGCGTAAGTGATATGACAGCAACAAGATTCGATTCCGTATACTACTATTGTAGTTATTATTGTAACTATTGAACGCATGGTTAAAATATATATTTGACATTCACATCTATTACAACCAATAATTGATAACATTATTTATGATTTTAATTTTAATGTTGTCATTATTTTCAAATGCCGGGCATGTCGACCGGTGTGCAATTCTCCTAATTAATGGGTTACCTGATGGCCAATTGGCTAATGCTCTGATATTTGGTACCACAGGCTTACAGTTCGGTGGCATGGATGTTTGTGAGTGGTTCAGAATCCATGTTAAACTGTAGGTCTCGGTCTAATTAGACCAAAGTGTGCTGAAAGTGACTGTAGAGCGACACACTAAACCAAACCAAACCTATTTAACGGATTATATATAGCAGATTCGGTGTTATAGAGGGATAACTGATATACTGCATCCATAGTGTGCCACATCAATCTGGTAAGAACTCCCCTAAATGGGGGAAACTGAGATTTCATACCCTCTTTATTCACCATTTTAATGAAGCCCTAGTGAGCGAATTATATATCCAGCCATACCAGGCATTTCAACAATATGTATTGAAATAAATTATTTCCCAACATAGATCTCTGATATTGCCGAATTTATAGAGGTGCGTAGTGAAAAAGATGAATCCTGCTGAACCTGCAAAAATTCTGTGATTCTAGTGATGAATGAACTTGGTCAAAATGCTCGACCTTACAAAACAGCATATTAAAATATGAAAAAAAATATATGAAAACGTTATTATTAAAATACGTTGATTGGCTGCAGTTTTTGTTCAATAGTTTAAGCATGTATTTAAATGCATTATTTAATATGAAATATCTCAAAAAAAAAAAAAAATTTAAAAAGTATTATAAATAAATTAATCGATCCTTTTTACAAGCCTTGTAGGCAATTATATTTCTAGTTTACAAATTTATTTTTAAATGTTCTACAAATAAAATGTTTTGTTCATTTTATTAATTGGATAAAGAATTTAGCAAAAGCAATTTCTTCTTCTTCATTGGCGCAACAGCTAAATGGTGGGCCTAGGCCAGGGGTCGGCAACCTTTTGAGTCGGAAGAGCCAAATATGGCAATTTACAAAATTTCAAAGTTTTTAAAGAGCCACAAAATTTATTCTTGCCAACAATAAATAACAGGTGGGCTGAAAGGTTCGTAGGCTGACACATAGATGGCGCTACTAGTATTAAATCCATATGATTTTTAGTTAGCCCTGACCTTCAAAGACACGTGTATAAATTTGACAGCTGTTACGCTATTAGTATGTGAGTTATAGCATGAGATGAAACATGGCTCCATCATTTCACACCGGAGTCCAATCGCAGGCAGCCGAGTAGACTGCACGTGATGAACACTAAAAATGCTATAACTTCACTAAAAATGCTATAACTCACATACTAATAGCGTAACAGCTATCAAATTTATACACGTGTCTTTTGAAGGTCAGGGCTGACTAAAAATCATATGGATTTAATACTAGTAGCACCATCTATGTGTCAGCCTACGAACTTTTCAGCCCACCTGTTATTTATTGTTGGCAAGAATAAAATTTTTTTTTTTTTGATAAAATAAATAATATTTGCGTATGGAACTAAAGAGCCGCAGTTTCACATCCAAAGAGCCGCAGTTTCACATCCAAAGAGCCGCAGTTTCACATCCAAAGAGCCGCAGTTTCACATCCAAAGAGCCGCAGGTTGCCGACCCCTGGCCTAGGCCATTTACCTACTAGTAGATTTCGAGACAAGAGGTTTTTTCTTTTTTTGGGGTAGGCTTGTGAGCTCTACGACCAAAGCTCTATGGCCATATTAGATCGGTACCTATTGTTTAAAATGGATTCCGCACCACTACAAGCATCCATGGCTTATCAGGACTCCAACTCAAAGCCTGTGGCACCGAGCGCTAGTAACTCAGGGGCCATCAGGGCCCTAAAAGCAATTCCACTAACGCAAATTCCCGTTGGAAATTCAATACTTTTAAATAAAATTAATTAATATATCGCATGAATTGCAAATCATTAATTAGTACCTAAAATGTAAAATAGTTTTCTACAAATTCATATTAAAAATATATTTTATATGTTCAGTCAGAAAAATGCATATAATATTTTTATACGAAACAGTAATTTTTACGATATTTTATTATAATAAATAATAATTTATATGCCAACGGCCATACCATGCTGAATATACCGGTTCTCGTTAGATCGCCGAAGTCAAGCATCATTGGGCGCGGTCAGTACTTGGGTGGGTGACCACCTGGGAACACCGCGTGCTGTTGGCATTCACAAATTTGGGACCTGAATGGCCGAGTGTCTAGCGCTCTGGCGCTAGGTGCCACAGGTTTCGGGTTCGAATCCCGGCGGTGCCATGGATGTTTGTAGTGGTTCGGAATCCACTTTAAGCCGTAGGTCCCGGTCTCCTATGACTGTAAGAGCGTCACGGAGACAAAGTCAGACTTCTACCTACGTGTGCTCCATCACAACAGAAGCTGCTTCCTTCCCCTTCAATCATGAGTACGTATGGGCTCGTGGGCTTGGCCAGCCAAGTGGGATAAGAAACAACAAACAACAACATAACTTTTATTACGCATGTGACAACATGTATTTTATTGTATTTATTATTATTATTTATTACCCTTGAATATTTTTATAATTATAACATAATGTTTATTTTAATAACTGGGTGGAAAAAAAAATGTATATCTTAAGAAAAAAGTTTTGGGAAAATGATTAATGCAATTTATTTGACACAGAAACTATGTCATAGAACGAGTTGTTTATATTAGTTTGAATATTTACTAAAACAGATAAATTTTGTAATTAGATTTAAAACTTTTGTTATAATATTTGAATTTTTAAAAAAAAAAAAAGAATAAGCAGGATGTTACAAATATTCATGAAACGTAGAATAATTTGCAGAAATGAACGCATGAGATACACAAAAATATCTCTTATAAATATAATTTATTTTATTTGTCTAAGAAATCTCTTTCATGTCCCTTTTTTAAATAAATTATGATACGATTTGCCAAGATAAATAGAAAATTTTAAATTAACTTTGGTAAATTTTATTTAACATAATTCTCAGCAATTCATATCATTTTAAATAAAATTAAAGTATAAATTAGAAAATTTCTGTTCTATAATTTGTCTTCTTACTTATCAAACATTTTTCATTGCAAGAAATAAATATTAGTAATAATTTTTAGCAATTTCACGTAAATGTTTGATAGATCCTACTCGTGCGTCAGCGTCACTATGCGCTGCTGGTTAGCATAAGGACGGAGGTTCAATCCGCTGGGGTATTGTTGCAGACACTGTTTCAATAAACGAGGAGAATCGATGGCGTTTTCGATGTACAGCATTTTGTCTCGTTAGTTAAGCAACTTGGTGAACGTTTTCGGTTTTTCTTCCATAAGATACTCAAATGCGGTGTAGTTCCCCCTAAAAGTCCATCTGGAAGGCACCGCCCTCCTTCTTCAGTGTCATGGAACCAGTCAGACTTCTACTTACGGGTGCTCCATACAGAAGCTGCTCCCCTGTTCCCTTCTTAATGAGACCATACGGGTTCTTGGACGTGTTGTACTACACCACACCACATTACTGTGCCTAGAGCTGAGTTGGCCATATACAGTTTGGGTTAGTTAGGTTTGGTTTGTCGCTCTACGGTTATTTTGTGCCCACTTTAGGCTAATTAGACCGGAACCTACAGTTTAATGTGGATTCTAATCCACTGCCACGGATCTTACCATCCCCAGGATTCATACCTAAAGCCCGTGGTCAAAGGCCAGAGCGCTAGCCAATTGGCCATCTGGTCGCTATACAGTTTGGGAATGATGTGTGTGAGAAGTCTGATTGGACTATGTGACGCTCTACGATCATAGAAGATTGGTTCCTACGGCTTAAAGTAGATTACAAACCACTGCAAATATCCATGTCACCATCGGGACTCGAACCCGAAATCTGTGACATAGAGTGCAAAGCGTTAGACATTCGGCTATTTAGACTCTCTTGTACCTGGTCTAGATGTTGCTGTCAACCAAGTGGGAACAGAAAAATAATTGATAGCATTCTTAAAAACAAAATTTAGCAATTAAATAAAAACATCAATTTGTTTTCAAGCAACATTAGTTAAGTCTTTTAAAAATTTAAGCAGTGATAAAATTACACCAGAATACTGCAATTTAAAATAATTTTTTTATGTAAATTACATTGAAAAGTAAAATATTATATATTTATACATTTAATTCGCATCAAAAACAACGCAAAAGATCTTTAAAAATCGATAAAAAAACAACTTCGTTCAAATCGGAACAACCTCTCTTCAAGTGATTTAAACTGAAAACTTTTCATCCTTGAAGTTCTCTTCCAAATTCTGAAAATCCAAAACCTTTTCATCTTTTATGCTTTCAAGCAATACAAACTCGCTTTTCAGTTCGCGAATAGCTGCCCCATAAACGAGCAGTTAGCTTTAAGTGCACCAGTTTATTTGAGTAAGAAGTTTAAGAAAGATATAAAACATGACTTAAATGTCTCAAGAAAAGTATGCTGAAGATTTTTACCATTTATTTTTTTTTTTCAGCATTAAATTTAATATGCCCCATGATGTTTATTCTGCTAACTTTTGTTGATTTCAAAATGTTGAAATAAATTTAACCTTTTACTGAAAATAATGCATAGAAAGAATATTTTTCACCCAACTAATTTATTAAAATATTCCACATTAATAGTAGTATATATTATATAACATCAACAATTGATATGTCATTTATCAACAAACAGTGAAGATAATTAATGTAGTTATTGCTACGATATATATGTAAATATATGAATGGCTTAACGTTAACTATAATTAAAAAAGAGCATTCATCATTTACTAATACAACAAGAAATGCTTTCATCGCCAAAAAAAAATTTATCACATTTCATACAAATAGTTCTTTTATGATAATAAAATTAACAGCTGCAATTCATTTGTGCAGAATACTGTATATGATTTAATAAATAATAGGCAAAATAATGTTGGTTTTTTTAAATTTAGCTATTTTTTTTTCGTAGTTCTTAGCTAAAAGACATCTTTCAATCATATCTCGGAAAATTTGGGTGCGCCAAGTGTACTTTTTAGTTACGGTATTGTGACCTTGCATTTAGTACGCCAAGTGCACATTTGAACATCGTATTACACCCTTGTATTCAGTACGCCAAGTGCACATTTAAACACTATATTAAACCATTGTATCCAGTACGCCAAGTGTACTTTTGAACATTGTAACACACCATTGTATTTAGTATGCCAAGTGCACATTTGAACATCGTATTACACCCTTGTATTTAGTACGCGACAGTACATTTGGACATTGTATTAAGTCGTTTTATTTAGTCCGCCAAGTAAATATTAACATACTACGGCATTGTATTCAGAATGCCAAATGTACATTTAGGCACTTTGTTGTGACATTGTATTCAATAAGTTAAGTGTTCAATTGAGTATTGCATTACAATATTGTATTCAATAGGCCAAATGCACATTTGGATGTATAAAATAGTTATATTCTTTCTGCCAAGTACATAATCTAGCATTGTGTTAGGTTCATTGTATTCAGAACGTCAATTGTACATTACATAGAGTAAATGACAAAAATTGTTACCCACTTGGAGATACTATAATTGTTGCTGCCTTGAAATTTGCCAACACCAAGTTGAAAATCTGTAAGTTGCAAAATGAAGCTGCTAGAAACAATTAGAAGCTTTGTATAACGCAGCTCTTAAAACTCGGGAGATAGTTCATAATTTACAAAATCGTATAATATCTACAATTCTTGTCTGATTGTCGAATTTTTAGTTTTATGATTTGAAATCTACTTCTTTTTCTATGCATTTCTAAGCCTTTTTTAAGTGTTATTTTTCGCATCTTTATTGCTCACTTTGTGTGTGTTCGACATTTAATTTTTGAAGTCAAGAACTATTTAATAATTCAATAAAAGTTTTTTTTTTTTTTAATCAGCCTGCCATTCATTTACGTCAAAATTATGCATACATGAAAACAACAAACCTGAATTTCGCATAATGTGAAGTAGTTCTAATGATAATTATAATTTTCGTTAAGTGTATGCAGTTCATTTTATTATATTTGCAATAAATAACTCTTTTATTGTTTCTTACTAATCTTTAAGTCAGAAAATGTATAGTTTTTACATGATAGAATAGCAAAACTCTGCTGGTATTGGTGATAAATGGATTTAGAAATTTATATATATACAATATATAATACTTTTATATATAAAAATATAAAAGTAGCAATAAGCAAGTTCTTTCTCATGGAATACATGCATTCTAATACATTCTTTATAGCGCAAAAGTTTCATGAAAAACTACATTTGTACCAAATACTGACTTGAAGATTAAAAATGCCTTTGGCAGTGATTTGATTCCTTACAATAAGGTTCAATCCTTACTTTCGCTTATATACTGCAGTAAAATCTTTGTATATGGATGTCTTTCTCACATTTAAGATATATCTATTTCAGGAAAGTATTTCTCTCCATAAAAATATATTACACGATGTATGTCAATTGCTTTTTTATAAGTTAATTTATTGCTTAATATTAAGTTTATTTTTGTTCAACAAATTTCTGTATTCCAATTGCAAAAATTTAAATATCATTCTTTCTTCTTATTACAGCAAATTCCCTCATTAAGATCATGAAGTGCTATCAAGTGATATTATATATTATATAGGTTATATATTGTTTTTTTCATTTGCAACTAGTTTCACTAAATAAGAATTGATGATTTATACAGCATGCTTCACTGTTATCCTCTGACTACTCGGATAGTTTTCAAGCTCTCCCCATCTTTTAAGTAAAAACTTTTTGAAGCCTAGTTGTCTAAAATGGTTTTTCAATAGTGTCCCGGAAATTTTTCAGTAGTTTTTTATGCGTGTCCATAGTGGAGCTAAGTAAAAGACACATCAGTTTAGTTTTTCCCATAGTTTAAAATTAATCCAAAATATGTTATTATTCGTACTAAGTAATTAATATCATTGTAGATACTTTATCATGTGATTATTTCGCTACTTTCAATGTGAAGCAAACCAACGTTGCAACTCAAATAATGTGTTTATCAGTGTGCGAACATCCAATATTTAAATATCTTAGGTTAGATGTATGAATCATTTTTCCTCCATTTTCTTCCGCGGAAAAAATTCATTGACGGTAATGCACATCGTAAGCATATTGCTTAAGTGTCAAGAACTATTTGCCTCACGATGAAGGTAGC